CCCCAAAACCCCAAAACCCCAAAACCCCAAAACCCCGAAAGTCTATATTAAAAAATTATATGGTAGTATTTTATTAAATCAATTTAATAACCTGAAATAAAATATTAGTTTTCAGCATGAAACCCTTACTAATTGATACCCTTACTTTTTATCAATAAGTAGTGGTATAAAATTCAATTTGGTCACAGTGGGTTTCCAACTGTTACTCTCCATTGAGTATTACTGAAGGAACCCAAGCGCCTTCATCAATCTCAAAGATTTAGTCCTCGAGTCCCTAAAGTTTATCTTACTCCGAATAAACCCTACACTCTGGAGCCACTATCATGCCAGCATGCTCATTTGTAACCTGGATTCTGAATGAATCACTTGAAAATCTCAACTAGGCAGCATAGTACGCGTTTTTGTAAGGTTTTCTACTTGTCAAACTAAAGATAATGAATAATCCTTCGTAAACGGCTGCCTCCCCTCCTTCTGGTACTTCATGGTCAGCAGGAAATTAACCTTCAGAATAGAAGCCTGAAACTATACCGGCCTTATTCTTAAACAAGCAGGTTACATTCTCTCTCACTTTAAGAGCATCAAAAGCTTCCTGAAAAGTTTTTCCTTCGCTGGCAGTTGATTTAAAGAGTTGAGCAAATCCCTTAATTGGTGCTTGGGTTTGATCTATAATCCACTAGAAGTCAGATGAGGATGCGAAGGAACTTCCATATGCCAAGACAGGGGGAAGAGTAGGAACAGGAGGAGCAGGTTACTAGTTTATCTAAGTTGTATAAATTGCCTCATTCTAATTGCCTGCCTGTGACGATAGACTAAGTAGTCCTCTATGGTCTACAAGTGCGACTGAAATTTCATTGTATGCAGATAGAGATGTTCCATTAGCCCCAGGAACTAAGTACCATTTTTAGGCAATAGTTTGCCATTTCAAAAGCTTGTAGTCGGCAACATTCTCCTCATATTTAAGAGCCCAGAGTGAACCGTCAATACCTGCGCTGATACTGACTAGTTTTTCTCCTCCATAATTAGCGTCTACAGATCCATCATCAGCAATTAGAATAGGTATATCCTTGATCAAAGTAATACCTTTGTATCCTGAGAGAGCCTTATATGAGTATTATGCATGATTGTTGACTGTATGATAAGCTCCAACAAGTTAATCTGCGGCCAATTTACCAGAATTATCATTAAGTCCAATGATTTATTTATTAACAGTGACCTCAAAATCAGATAATCCGCAAACAAGTGGAACTTTTTCTGAGTTGAGGACACAGTTATCAGGACTCAAGTAATACATAGTGCCTAATCTATCGAATCTAACTGCTTTTGCTTGGAATGTTCTATTAGTAATACTCCAAAGATTGGATGCTACATCGAATAAATATACGAGATATTTAGTCTCCTAAGGCTCTGAGCCGATTTTTTAAATTGCGTAGACATCTCCATCCGGTGATGTTTAGACGTCAACAAATGCATTGACAACAGTCCATTCTAATTTTTAAGTTTCATTCCAAGAAAATTTGTTTGTTGCTTCTTGTCTCCACCCAAGTTATGATCTTTGCTTCTCCAATGCGTGACTGATCTAGATAGCGCCGCAGTAACCTAATAGGATACTCGCGGAAAATAATAGTTTTTGCATATGATTTGATAAATATTACTATAAGACTTTAATAAACTTTGGAATTATACTGAGCCAGTGAATATAGAAATAGATATAGTGAATAACCCTTATTTTTAAGGACATTAAAATGTGATATTTTGAGATTGTTTCCCCAAAGAAAAACATGCAGCTATTGAGAATCTAAGTTTACTAAAATAGTCTAATTCTGGAAAGGTTTTAGAGTCATAGTTAGAGTCTTAGTTAGATTCTTTAAAAAATATAGTATGATACCCTAATAATAGAGAAGATAAAGTAATACATTGGTAGAGAATTATCTAACATAATTCGAGACTTGAATATTAGGTTAAAAAATGAAAATTATGCTATAACAAAGATGGGAATTAAAGAGGATTTGCAATTTGTTCATAGATTTTATTTATCTAGCATCATTAAACTTGATACTTAAAAATTATTCACTTTCGCAGATTATTAAAGCCTAAAAATGTAGTACTAAAACCTAAAAATGTAGTACTTTTATTTAATTTTTAAATAACTTATTGCTTTAAACTGCACCAATCCTGAAAATATCTATTATGGGGTTTTGGGGTTTTGGGGTTTTGGGG